AGGGGGGGAGGGGGGGTTTGGTGACTGGGCTCTTCCAGTCACAGTGTCAGGGGGTTAACAGTGCAGTTGAAGAGCAGAGGGTGAAGTTAAGGTTTATGGGTGCTAGCTGTCAGTCAGAAGAACCCTGGTCCACAGTTGCCATGGCTCCCCAGCAGAAGGGGGGCGGGGAGCCTCTGCAGGTGAATGTCTGGATGAACACACAGAGACACACACGTCACAGTGATCAATTCATCGGAACACATTTCTTGTGCCGTCTCGACTCCAATACCTGCTGATTAAAGAAAGCGAGCAGACTTATAGACTTATAGCACAGATATATTTAGTTTGTGTAATGAGCAGCTGCAGTCTGCAGCAGACAGAACAACCCCAGCACACACTCAGCACAGCCGAAAACTCATTCACACTCACTGGCTACCTTCTTCACTTTCATTCTGGGTGTCGCAAACTTTAAGTGTGTTTAGTGTTTCGTGCTAACACGGTAAACATTCTACCTGCTGAGCATTAATATTTTCATAATGCTAGTGTTATGGTATATAGCACCACTGCCTGCCTTAAGAACAGTCTCACAGAGCTGCTAGCGCGGCTGCACACTCAGTCTTGTTCAGTTATTGATGACCAGCTGTATCGTGTAGCTAGTTAAGATGTAAAAGAATGATTTACTTTAGCTTTTTAATATTGTAATCTTACATATTACGTTAATGCAGCACTAGTTGGAAACATCCAAGCGGTTTGATAATGGGCAGCTTAGTTAACCTTGCATCTTAAAAGGGACAGTTCACCACCAAATCAGAAATATATATTCTTCCTGTTAGCTGTAGTGTTGATCCATCCTGATTGTTTGGGTGGGAGTTGCAGAGTTTTGGAGAGATCTGCCTTCTCCCCAATATAATGGAACCAGATGGCAGTCAGCTTGTGGTGCTCAAAGCAGCAAAAATACATTTGAAAAATTCAACAGCAGTGTCTCTGTGACTGTGACGCAGCTGTGAGCAGGTTCATATATATGATATCCATTTTTTTTCTGTGGAAGTACACCGGCAACAGTAGCTGAATGTTCGCCTTCTCCTGCGCCGTCACCAGCACAAGCCTCTCGCCCATGAGAGATTGTGGTCAAACTCACAACAGTGTTGGTGGATTATCTCGAGACACTGCTGCCGAGTTCTTCAAATGTCATCTGGTTCCATTAGATTGGAGAGAAGGCAGACACCTCTACAGCTGATATCTCCAAAACTCAGCAACTCTCAGTGAAAACATGTATTTTCGGGGTGTACTGGCCCTTTAAGTAAAGAGGGGTAACTGAACAAAATGGGGTCGTTTAGTTACATCATAGCAGTGAGAGTTGGCTTCACTCAAAATGATTACATTAACATTTAGCCGGTGCAAAGTGTAAAGAGCCATCCTGCCAGCTGTCATTATACATGCACATATACAGCATGATCTGCTGGAGCAACGGACTCACTAACAGCTAATCAAGCCCGTGGTGCCATCCTCAGTTATTTTGCTGCATTAACAGTTCAAACCCCAAATATATTAAATCTAACATGTGGATAGACCAGCTAATGGAATAAATAACTTCAGTGATTTAGTTCTGCATTTGCTGGGGAACTTGCAAAAGACAGTTGAAACTCAACTTTTATTCCCTAGTGTGGGTTGAGCTGCAAAAACCGCATTCACTTCCCATAATGCAACGTATTAACATCTTTCATTAGGCCCACCACGACCCAGCTTGTAGGCAGGCTGTTACACCTCTGTCTGAAGATTTATGAGTAATTTCCTTGAACTTGACACGACTTCCTGCAGAGCGGCAGAAGATATGAAGGCAAGGCAGGTGTTTACTAACCTCATGAGGTCTCTGCTAACGTTGTCACCTGTCAACCCATCGGTTCCCTGGAGGGGCTTTGAATGTCTTGTTCTGGAGAGGGAGGAGGGGTTGCAAAAGTTAAAATTGAACACAGTCGTGGTATTTTTCAATTGAACACAGTCGTGGTATGTTTCAAACAGGAGAAAGCAGCAGAAAGTCTTCTAGAACAGCGGAATCACACCTAATTCTCTAAAACAACTTGTACATTTCCACTAGCCAGGGACATTTGAAAGTGCAGTTATTTCTGCTCACCTTGTGCTTTTTACACTTCATGGAGAAGTTTTCTTCAATGAGTACACAGTCTGCTAGAACAAGAACAGAACAGGAGTTGAAGATGTCACGCTGATTCATCCAAAGGGTTCAACCGCCCACACGTGCAAGTTCAGGCTGAGAGGAAGTGATAATAGCCAAGCGCACTTCACAAAAGAGTTATTTCCAGACCAATCCACATGAACTCAGACACTCTCGCACAAAGTGGCCAGTCGTGGGTGCATTAAACATAATATTTTAACAACAACGTTAAACTTGGAAAAATTAAACAAAAGCCAACAGTTACAAATAGCTGTGCACTAGGGTTGAATGAGTGCTCAGCTGAAACGAGTGCAGTACAATGTGTCAGTATCCACACTAACAAATATAGCCTTTCTAAAGTGCTGCTTCTGGAAATAGTTCTTACTCTTGTTATCAGAAACACTGCTCTGAAGTGGGAAATGTAGCAGCTTCTGATCAACCCCTATCAATTATGGCTTAAATGAACTTCTGGTTGGTCCCTCCCAGTTTAAGCCCCGCCCACTCTGAGTACAGATACAGATGAACGGTGCACTCGTTCATCCCTACTGTGCGTGTTGTACCTGTAAACATGCACACGGGTACGTAACTGCCCTTTGTTCCCCTGTGATTGTGTGGGGGCGGAGGGCGGAGGGCAGCACTCACCTGACTCCAGAGCACACCTGTAGTGGTACTTGTTGGGGCAGCCTTTGAAGAAGCAGCCCAGCGTTGCGCCTGGGTTGCGGCACGCCGAACACATCTGGGGACGCAGCGGGGAAAAAGTCAAATGACAAACGTCGTGCTTGGACACCAGAGACAGTGCCTACAATATGGGAGTAGATTTATATTTGATCATATATGTGTATATATATATAAAATATTCTTTGCTCATTGTAGTTCAAGTTTGTGTTATTATACTGGATATTTGTATGCATACAGGGTTTTTTATTATTACTTTTGCTGTGAAAAAAAATCAATAAACACTGTTGGAAAAAAGGCTTTTCTATGGCCTTGAAGTGTTTTTAAGACCCGTAGACAACTTATTCACATATTCTCTTCTTCATCAAGGCCCTCATTCATCAGCACTGCACAGAAATGTCCTACAGCCATCCTTGTAAAGTAACCTGAGCATGGTACAAAGGCTGAAAAGATCTTTTTCACTGTTGTCATAGTAGGAAAGGTCTCACTAATAATCTGTTGTATTGATGCAATCCCAGTAGGCCATGACGAGATACAGTGAGCTTAGAACTGAACTTTGGTCCCATATGTGGCAGCAGACTGAGGCTACTCGAGGCACGCCCACTCGGTGGTGACCAAAGTAATCATGACGGCAGCTCTGCCCCTGGAGCCTGAAAATTCATTCCAGCTGCCCCGCTGGGACCGTGGTTATGACAAATGTCCTGGCATCCTGCCTGATACGTTAGCTCATCAGACAGTTGGTGTGGAAAGCTCACATTTGAGTCAGGGTGTTGTAAAATAGACGGATTTGCCGTGGATTGCACCGTGAGCTCGTGTACGCCTGCGTGGTCAGAGCTGTAGGAATTAGTCGATGAAATCGTTAGCTGATGGCGGAGAACTACTCTGCAGCTATTTTGATGATCAGTTAAATGGTTATGTCATTTTTTTGCCCAGTAACTGACTAATTCCAGCCTCTCAAATCTGAATACTTACTTAGCCTTCTTAGTCATCTGTGGATTTTCTGGTCCACGATTTTAATGGACTAAAGAAAAGTCCTCCAACAACATTTTTCCCTCCCCAGAGCCTTCAACCACATCTTCCTCAGAGGATGGAGCTTGCTCCAGACTTTTTAAGACCACTATGAACGCAATTTAAGACCTACTACATCCATACTGACAAATAAAAGTAGGAAGGAAAATCAGTATCAGTTCCCCAAAAACACATTTAAAAGCTGGATCTGAAACTTTAAGCCACACATACACCCTGCTATAAACTAACTACTGTTTCCAAAGTGAATAATGACCCTTCGCCCTCAAGAAAACAAGAAGTTGGATCTGAAAATGTTTGCAGAAATTGGTGCAACAAGCAGAGAGATTGTTCTATGCGCTTTTCAGCTTTTAAAGAGCAGCTCTCCTCCAAATGCACAAGCCGAACCCTCGAGCAATGCAAAATCTGTAACATTGTTCTAATCACAATGTCTCAGTGTTGCTTGCCTGCACCAATAACTTCTAATCATTTTCTATCTGACGTAATTGGCAGTTATTCATGCTTACTCATGCTTTGACATCCGAAATCTATTAGTATCCTAGAGGCCTTGGAAACAAGCAAACAGTCAGACTGTTAATGTTTTGTTCATTTCCATCATATCAACCACATCTGCAGGTGGTATAACACACACACGTCAGGTTTAAAGTGCAGCTTTACCGTCTCCTGGGCCACCTTTACAGCCTCCTCCAGTCCGTAGACTTTGCCCTTCACAAGGAACACGCCTGCGCACCAGATGCCGCAGTCCTCGTGGAGCCAGTATTCACAGGGCTCCAGGGGCAGCACGGGGGGGCTGTACCAGTCCTCCACATCTGCAGAGGTGGCATCTGACCGGGCCCGCTTCGCAGCGGGGCTGCCGGTACCGTCGCCACACCACCGCTGGCTCTCGAGGAGGCCCTTCTCCTTCAGCCGAGCTCCTGGCCTGAGAGGCCGCGGCGTGTGCGGAACGGCGCGCTTCCTCCCCCTGCCCCTCAAGCTGCAGGACGAGGAGGAAGAGTCGCTGTAGTCGTCTTCGTCCTCTTTGAGGCCCGACGCGCCGGCTGGTGTTTTGGTGCTTGGCTGGTACCCTTCGGGGTAATAGGGGCCGTGGAGGTCCCCCAAGTCCATGGCGTTGGCCGACTGCCCGCACAGGCAGCAGACCAGAGAGCGCTGGTGCTGGCCGTGCGTGGACGCCCGGCCCAGCTGCAGGCAGGAGGTGCTGGGGACGGCTGCAGAAATAAAGCCGCCGGGGTGAGCCGGCTGCTGCGGGCCCTTCTTGTGCTGTGTCCTCACCTCATCGGGGTAGTTGATTACAGTACACAGTGACGGCGATGACTGCTGGCGCTCCACGTGGATGAACGGGGAAAAACTGTCTAACCTCAAGTCCCTTTTCTCCTCCTTGTAGTTGACGTACTTCAGCTTGATCTCCGGCTCCATGGGGGAGAACATGGAGGAAGACTGGCTCTGTGTGTGTTTCTTTCGCCTGCTCTTCTTCGCCTTCGTCTTGGCAGTGGGAGGTGTTTTGCTACCTGCAGCCTTCCCTTTGGCTTTGCCTTGGCTTTTCTTTGGAGATTTTGATGGTGTTGGTGGGGGGGAAACTCTTGCCACGTGAATTTCCACTGAGGGTTCGGGGTGAGAAAGAGGCTCTGGCTCCTTCTTTGAGTTCTTGTGCACAGCAAACTGAGGGCTTTTTGGAGCTGTGCTGCTTTGTGAGCTTTTAGAATTATTGATTTCTGTATTGGAGGTAGAGTCTTTGCAACTGTCAGTGTTAATGTTATTAGTTTTACCCCTTTTCATTGGAATTACTGCTTTTTGTTTCATTTTTTTCGCTGAGAAAGACGCTTTCGCTCTGCTGTTCCTTTTTCCTACTGACAGGGTGTCATTCTTCTTAGCACCGGTTAATTTAGCAGCTGTCGACTGGGAAGCGTTTGCTTTCTTATTGGTGCGTATGCATCCTGACACTTTATACCTGCTCGAATTTATGTTCATAACGATAGCCTCTAACCGCGTCCCTCTGCCGGAACGCATTGGCAGCTTCTTTTCTTTTAACGTTCTTTGTAGTGCCTTAGCATTCCCGTTCATGTGAGGAATGACAGTCTTGTTCTCCGAAACATCCGACACACAAACATCATCTGTCAAGTCGATCAAAGGCTGCAACACCGCCTTCCGTCTACGGACAGGCTGCTTTTCGCTGCTCGAATCCAACCTCGTGGCACTATCGCTGACGCCACAGCCTGGCTGAGCGGCCCCCGCTGTGCTCAAGCCATCCCACGCAACCTCATCGGCTGTCTCCAGATAAGAGTTGTCGCCGCTGGGTGAGCTGGAGGCCTGAGGCAGGGCGAACACATTGTCCGGTGAGGTAGCGGCAGGGGAGACGGGGTCCTCCAGAGGACTGATGTACTCCCTGCTCAGTGAACACAGGTCTCTAGCACCCACGCTGTCCGGGACGACCGCCGGGTCCGCTTTCTTAGACATGAGAAAGAGCACCTCAGAGCCCCCCCTCTCCTCAGGGGTGAGTGTTTCCGGCGAGGACTCAGCGCATACTCCTGAACTCGAACAGCTATCAACTTGACCGTTCTCCAACCCCCCGCTGTTTTCCGGAGAAAGGCGTTGTTCTTCTCGGCCTTGCGCTTGCGTATCCACGTCCCCATCGCCGGAGACGACTCCACCATTCAACTCACGAGGCTCCTGCGTTACACACACTCCCCCGTCCTTCTCAGGACCCACGTGAGCCTGAGACACCGGCTGAAAAGGTTCTGTCTGAGTGGCGAGGTCCACGGGCCCGTCAACCTGCTCCACGTAATGCTGGTTAAGTGCATAGCCAGTCTCCTCAAGCCCTTCGTCTGAGTCACAAGGAGGGGTGGGGGACAACTTGCTAATGGGCGGCACGCTGTACAGAGGCCGAGGCAGCGAGTCGTGAGCGGAGTAGACGTGAGACCGGCTCACGTAGGAGAGGGTGACCGTAGTGTGGGAGAAGGCATTGTCCGGCTGAATTTGATCCCCTGATTGGAGCGTGATGTCCGAGGAGCCGGTCTCTGAGAAGGGTAATCCGGTATTGCTGGCCCCGGAGTTTGGGTACCAGCCGGGGCTCTTGACCATCCGCAGGGCATCGAGGGGCGTGGCGTTGAGGACACACTCCTCGCCTTTCCTGGTCAGGTCGATCACAGTGGGGATGCTGGAGGTGGAGAGGTCTTGAGGCTGTAGATCGTCCAAGCTCCCAGGTGGCTGCTCCATAACAACTGACAGGGACAGAGAGGGGACAGAAAGGGTGTCACTGGTCTTGGTGGGAAACCAACTTTAAACTTCTTATCAAACCAGAGCAGATACACTGAGCACATGTGCTTATTTCCAGGAACTTGAGTTCAGGACTACTTTTAACAACATCACTTCGAGTTCACACTTAAACCATTCTTACCTTTTTATTTCAGCGTAATGTGACAAGCAGAAACTTAAAACCACCAGCCTTTACAGCTAAAGTCCTAACGCTGACATTAGTTAGCTAGGAAAATGACGTGTGCTTGAATGTCATTAATGTTGGAGAACACAGGTTAACTGACAATTTAAGTGTTGGCTTGTTTCCAATTTACATTCATATTTTTGAATGTTTATCATATCAAGCTGTTAGGTCCAATAGATAACGTGTTTCTAGACTACCGGCTGACTTTTTAACCAGCATGACAGGTCAGGTTTGCTAATGATAGTTAGCTTAGCCTATCCACAGCTAACGTTAGCTCGCTAGGCCCGGCTTAGCTCCGGTAGCCTTCCCGGACGCCGAACTCCATGAAATATCTGGCAGCTTTAAGTGATTTTGTTGGAGACACAAAGTCATACGCCACAAAAAGTGACTTCACAAGTTCTAATTATCGATAACCATCCCCGTTCATTTCGGCGACGTCTGCTCCTCCGAAAACCTCATTATTTCGATAAAATGTCAACTTTTATAGCTCAGTGGTCCACATTGTTCGCTACTGCACACTGCGAGTCCGGGTAACTTTGTTGCAAGAACAACGGCAAAACCAATTTTTAAATGTTAAATCTTATTTCAAAGGGTGTTCTTTGGCATGTTACATTTATTCCGAATTGGAGAGTGGATCTTAATGATTCAAAGAAGTATAGTTTACTTTCTACAGGATTCCTAAATTTAACAAGAACCAAGGTATTGTTAAATTGCGGTTTACTTTTCATGGAATTTGGCAACACCTTCTCTGCATTTCAGAGAACGGCAGGCATCGGGGCAAGGCCCGGCTGGATGAAACAAAGACTGAGCGGAGGTAATGCGCTGCGCTCTGAGCCGCTGATCAAAACTTACCCGGACGGGAAAGATCGTAGCGTTTCTAAACGTCCAGTTAAGGATTGGCCCCCCCCTGCATCTCTTTCAACAGCCCATCAGCTCTAACGACTCCTAATAACACCACACAGAGACAAAGCCCAAAATTAAATAAAGATCCACACACTTTCCAGGAACACACTACTCTGATAACCTAGCAGCGCTGTCAAGTTGTTTGGAGTATAATCTCAAACTTCCGGATCCCCTTCACAATAAAACAATTAGTAGCGCGTTTCGGTGGTTTTCTCTCTTTTATTTGAAATAATACGAATAAAAAGTACAATTAAAGCATACACCAACCGGGTGGCAATTACTAAACGCACAGTTTATCTCAATGTTAGCAGGAGGGCAGTTCAGTTAAGTCAGAACAATTTGCCCTTTGATCCAACTGTTGCACGCAGGCTGTCAGGGCTTCAGAAAACTTGAACCAGGTCAGTCCCACAATCTCTGCCGCCCCCCAGCTGTGTGTGTCTAACTCTGGGTGGCTTGACAAAGACAGTCCAGCAGCAGCGGAACAGTTGCCACTCAGCTGTGGAACAGAGAGGCATTATGGGAGCAGAAGTGGTGGGACCTGTTCCTGTGGCTCCAGCTCAAATTATTGACCCTCAACGGACATTTACGGTCAGTTTCACTCAATAGTCCATGAAGCAACTGTAAAATCCCACATGTTTAAATGTACACATGTGGTTGTTGCTAACAACTGTTGGACATGGTCCTTGGACATAGGCCAGTGGGTAGGTGGATTAAATAAATAAAGATGCACATAGAGTTGAGTGGAATTTGGGATTTTTAAATTATATTTTAATTGTATGAGATTAAAGGGCTATTCCAGCAATTTAATATCCCACTATCATTAAGTTTGGGCAGTTATAAGATACATATTAGAATAAAAGAATGATTGAAATCAAAGCAGCAGAGGCTGGGATATTCTGACTTTGATATATTGTATATTTTTTATTATTACTTTAAGGTACATAGGCTCTTATATTTCTATTTATTATTTTTTACTTATGTATATACCTATATACACATTTGTATTCTATATATATAGTGTAATATAATTGTGTGATCACCTTGAACAACTGTAACAAACGAATTTCCCCCTGGGGATCAATAAAGTATTTCTGATATTGATTCTGATATTCCTACACTTCCCATAATGCAACCCAATAGCATCTTTCATTAAAGGACCAGTGTGGAGGATTTAGTGGCATCTAGTGGTGAAGTTGCAGATTGCAACCATTTGAATGATCACCCTTCAAAGCGTGTTGGAGAAACTACGGTGACCATAAAACTTACAAAAAAACGTGAAATGCTCTATCTACAGCCAGTGTTTGGNNACCGTAGAAACATGGCGGTTCAACGTGACAGACTCCACAGAACTTCCTCCCTCTGTAGATATAAACAGCTTATTCTAAGATCACAAAAACAACAACAATTCTTATTTACAGGTGATTATACACTAATAAAAACATACTAATTAATATTATACTCCATTTCTGGCAGTAGATCGTCCTAAATGTGACACTCTGGACCTTTAAGACACTCTCTACCTGGTACATAGCCATGTCTTTCAGCCTCCATGTCTCCAGTTTAAACCTTCTATTAAAAATATTAAGTCTCCAAGTCTGAGCCTGATGACATCATCAGCTGTCTTTAATGTTATTAGTAAGACCTGGGCTTGTCCTGCTGTCACATGACCTAATGTCTACTATGGAAAAGATCAACTGGGGACAGCCCATAAATCAGGCTGATAGATGAATACAACCCTGGCTGTTTCCTGTTGCTGCTTTAGCTCTGGGAGAGAGATGGACTGAATTCAACAGAACAGGTGATGGATTAACTGGAACAGAGATACTTCAGGTCACAAGATCAGAGAATATGTTTTGAAGAAAGCCGTTCATCATCCCTCCAGTAGAGCTCCACACCTCCAGAATTAAAGCTGCTGTGGGGGCCGGTGGGGACACAGTACCGTACGAAGACCCTTCAGGTTTTTCCCTTCAGTTTCTCATTCGTCATTCTATCTGTAAATGGTGCTTTTCAAGCTTTTCTTTAGCTCCTTTAATAATGGTATCGCCACTGGAGCTGCAGTGATTACTTGATTAATTGATTAGTTGTCAACTATTAAATTATTCTACAACTATTTTGATAATTAACTAGTTGAATATTTTTTTTAAGAAAGAATGCCTAAAGTCTCTGACATCTGAAGACATCACTTCTGACATTTTCTGGATCAAACAACTAATTGATTAATTTAGAGAATAATAGTTAGTTATATAACAAAATGCTATGGTGTTGTACTAAAACTGTATTATTTACAATTTTAGCTGTTTGACAAAATCCATGCAGTTTGAAGTTAAAGGAACAGTATTAATAATAATAATTCAGGGCTCTCTTCTCTTCTTTTGAAGACTGTCACTGCAAACTTCTCGTCCATCTCAGACAACTTTGGAAGCAGATTAAGCTTTCCAACATGATTCTTCAAGCAGCATGAGATAGGCGAGAAGGTTGCAAGGACAGAACATCAGACACATGTAACTTTAATTGCTCTTTATGACAAAGGCAATACTCGGTGTCCTGATATTTCTTCTTACTGGGTAGATGTGGTAACAGAAACCAGATCAATAATCGATTGATTTTAATTTTAGTGTTATGTAATTGGGAAACTAGCCAAGTGTGCTGTAAAAGGAGAGTACAGATATTTACTATAAATACTACTAGCAGGTAACAAAAAAGCAATAACCAAGACATAGTTAAAAAAACAAAAGAAATCCTATTTGAATCCTAAGTTATTATGTTTATATTTTATTTGGAGAACTTTGTCTAGTTCTTTCTGTAATAAGGCCAGCAGAATGGTCTATGGCTATGAATGAGTAAAAGACCTTACACCCCTTAAAAACACCTCGGCCTCGCATTGAACTAAAGCTATGTATCATAAGAACAATTTAGGACCGTTACACTTAAATGTAACCCAGCCTCTTTTTTATTGCCTTTTCTACAAAATGCTCACCTTCAGAAAATAGTTAAAATGAAGTAGAAAAAAAGAAAATACTCGAATGAAATACACTCAACTAGTCAGTATGTATTTACTGTTAACTAGATAAAAGCCTCAATTTAAAATAATCATTAAAGATCCCCTTCAGACATGTATTAAGGAATATATACAAATAGTCTGCTTGTAATAATGTTTTTTTTTAAATTTATAATTATATAATTTCCACATTTAAATCCTTAAAAAGTAATCTACTCCTTCTACTGCATTAAAACCTCCAGAATCTCAGAATATGCAAATATTGTTCCTTTCTGAAGTTTTCCTGCTGGACACAAGGTGCATAGCATGTGAAGCATTTTATGTGTTAAAAGCAAACGTATTAGAACACAGCAGGACCACTTAAAACAGTCGCACAAGAAAAAGGGTGCAAAAATATTTATTGCTAATAAACCTGTAGTCAGTTGGTGTATATTTGCTTTATATTTACAATAATAGAGTACAGAGGAATGGGAATGTGAAAGAAAAATCCCAACCATTTAAATAAATACAAAGGGACTGCCACTGAACAAGACTACAAACATAACCAACTCCAACAACTCCTATACAGCTGGACCAATGATTGCAGTGAGAAAAAAAACTCTATAATTTAAATATATATATGAAAATTTATATAATCAGTGAAACCTATCCATATGCATTCATCTGTCGCCTCTCTACGGTTATCTCCCAGGACTGCAGAGAACATCTATGATGTTAATGTAGAAGTCGGGCGATGAAGCAACATGGTCGGTGTTTGTTTTCTAATGCAGACGAGCATTTTGTTCCATAGCTTGTTAACTGAGTGAGCGTCCATCTGTGCTGGAATGATGACGGAGCGGTGGAGCGCCAACGTGCAGACCTGAACGCCAGACTCATTCCTATGGTTTTGTAATGCAAGTATTACACACTCATCAATATGTCGTTGTGTTTTAGCCATTAAACATCACATTTATGCCTTTGGCTAGCAACAGTCTAGGGAGTTAAAACAGTAGCTTACACAGTCATAGTTTTAATGTATGCATGACAGATGCTCAATTAAAAACAGTATTTACAGTAAGACATGGCAGCAAAAAAATCAACAATACAAAAAAAGTCACAGTTAACTGAAGTGCATGGAATGCAAAATCTAGACATGAAATTCAAACTTCATACCATGTTTTCTTAATATATGATCTGTGTTTTGTGACCAGTGTGTAGTGTTACTAAATAAGTAATTACAGAGCTAAAATATAGTGGGCTTCTAAACATGCAGCAAGGTAGGTAGGCATGATGCTTCACTGTCAGAACTCCTTAGTGTCTTTATTTTCAAACAGGTGGAGTCTCTGCTCAGCCGTCAGCCCTTCCTTTAGACTCTGGGGGGAACAGGAGACAAAAAGCAGATGTTAGTAATGACTTTGATAAATAGAACCTATTTCTGGACAGATGTGCTGTTGCTGAGCAGGCAGTGTTTCCCATGTCAGTGTAAATCTGTTGTCACCCAGTGAGTTAAACCTCTATAATGAAATCATGAGAGCCCACACACCACATTATTGCAAACCCTTCTACACCCTGTGAGCTATGGAGCCCCGAATCTGACAAAAGGCAGTAAAACATTATCAGACGAGTCAGAAATAGAACTACATACATCAATAAATAATACTGTTAGTTAAATAATTAAAACGGTGTGTAAAAACAAATAGAAATGGCTTTATGGTTTTCTTTAACATCATATCAGTGGATTAAAGTTGCAGTTGGTTATTTTTATAAAAAGAAATGTTGTCATATTTGCTGAATCATTCACTATATCCTGACAGTAGAACATGACACAGATAATCTGTGGGGGGAAAAAGAAAATCAGGTTCCTCTGACTCCTCCTAGTGCATCCTAGCTTTTCAGCTGGCGACCTAGCCGCAGCTAAATTTCATCATTAAACTACACCAGTGCAGATACTGGTCCACATATCATGGATATATAGGATATGTACGTCTTATATCATACATGTATATATATATATATTATACTGTATAAACCAATGTCTGTGCTTCTCACATGAGCACAAGGAAAATTGGAAATATGGTAAATAATGGCAGCTGTTGCTTGGAGAACACTGACAACAGATACATGACATGTAAGCTTCAGATGCATTTTACCATCTATTTTAATCATTTACCTAAGAGTAATTATTATAAATTTGAC